ATCACAGTGTCCTGTTTTCTGAGCGTGGTGGTCATACTAGAACACTGAAAGTATTCACTTTGGTGCAAGAAATTAAGACAGATCTATAGAAAAATGATATGAGAAGAACACATTGTTAAATTCTCTTTTATCCAGATTTTTTTTGCTGTGCTAGCCACGTTTCCTTTAAATGTATGTGACTGGGGAAACTTCAAACAAGCCAGGCCAGTCAGTTCTGTATTTAATTGATTAAGCTCTGTATTGCTGTTGGAATGGTACTTGCTGGAGCAACACTGGAAGGCAGAGCAGCAGCATGAAGGCAGCAGCACATCTAGAGGGTGGTCACAGGCAGCTGTGTGGCTCTGTCACCGGAGCCCACCAGTCTCCTGCTTCGAGGTATGAGTGGGTTTCAGCATGGGATAAAGCTGCCACCAAAGGGGTGCTCCCAGTTCCCAGGAGCCCGGCTGCTCCGGAGTGGGGAGGTGGTTGCAGAATCAGTGATGGTGTTGTGGAAATGCTTTAGGTGCCTGTACCCACTGCAGGCGATGTAGGACAGCTAAAGCAGGTTAAAAGTCACAAAGGCAAAACGATGGGGAGTTTTTAGACATGTTGGCAAATTAATGTGAAATCTTTTTTTTTTTTATCAATCTTAACTCTCGTAAAAGAAAGTAAAATTCAAGCTGGTGGTCAGAAATAAGCCTACTTAGTCATCAAAGCTCCCCATCCTCCCCAGACAAACCCTGTAAAACTACTTCACTCCCATGGAGATGTGAGGGAAGGTGTTTGAGGGGTGAGGTTCAGGGTGGGGGAAGCTGTTGGGTTGTCTCCAGCCATTCTGTGTTTGGTCCTTGCAGGACTCGTCCTTTCTGTAAGATACTTGGATAAAAAAAAAAAAAAAAGCTTTTAAAATTAACAGCTCTTTTGTTCTAAGGCCAGTTTTATTTTGTTCTTTATAAATGCCTTTTTTCCATTCTCATTTTGAATTTGCCTGTCTACTATTGCAAACGTGGTTATTTCCAGGACTAAACAAGAAGTGTGGTGTAATCCTGTCAGTCCTGCAAAATCTCATTTTCTGAAGTCTCTTAGATATAGAAACTGTTGTCAGCAAACTCATGAGCCTCTTGAGAAAGCTTTGAGCTGTGTGGGTGACTTCGACTTTAGAGCTTCATTGGAGGAGCTTGGGAGACAATGCAAAGTAGATAAAAGGGGTTCATTTCTGTAAGAACCAAATGCAGACTAGTTTTCCTGAGATCTGTGAGATTGCAGGTGAACAGTCTCACTCTAAAAGTTCTTTATATTCTCCTTAAGTTTCCTGTGAGAAATTAGGGGTAAATATAGTATGGTAAACCTGGAGCTGCAAGTTTAGGTTGTGTCCATGGAGATTATTCACCGGTGGTACTACAGGCACTGCCTGGGCAAATGCTCAGCCCTGCAGGGAGGAATTGGATGTTGTCAGGAGGGAAAAAATGTGGAAGAGAGGAAGAAAAAAAACTTGCAAAGATGTGGCTGTGTGTGTAACTTGCTGCCCGGGAGACTTTCTGTATGGATTAACGGATTTAAATCAAACTTCTTTGCTTGTCCCTGTAGTTTTGGTATTTGCTCAAGGTCTTGTGACTAAAGGCTTGGAAGGAGCAACTTCCTAAAGCCAAATGCACTGTGAACGCAATCCAGCTGCGTCTTCCTTTCATCTTCTCAGTCTGATGTATCGGCCAGTGGTTTAAATGTTCTGAATACCAGGTGGATGAAGCTCCTGGATCTCTGGTTTAGGAGAACGAGGACCAAGGTCAGAGCAGAACTAAACCTCTTGCCCAACACGTTTGCTGGGATCGGACCTGGCGATGAGTCAGGGGCAGCCGCTTGTCACTAGGAAATCAAGGCCCAGACCCTACTCGACCTCTTTGGACGTTCTTTGAAATCACTCTTTGAGTTTGGAAGGACGGGAAGGACTCAGGAATGTAACTAAACCCTTGCTCTTGTTAGCACTTGCTATCGGCTTTACATAAGTCCTCAGCCTTTTCTCTTTCTTAACAGAAGCTGAGTTGCAGAGGAGCCTTCGTCTTGGCAATTCCTGTTTTGAAGTGGTGTCCTGGGATAAGGGCTTTTCATTTCTTTTGAAGATACTACTAGAAAAAAAAACCTCATTAGAGCAAGTGCAGTTACAAATTGCTGCGACTCTTGTGGTTCGACGCTGGTTTGGAGAGCGTGATCCTGCAGCACAGCTTTGCTTTCTGCTTTGCTGTGCATCACCCGGGTATTAACGAGCCCAAGGCGTCCCAAACAGATGTGAAATATTTAGCTTTTGGGATTTAATTCTTTGCCTTTTGCCTTGCTGTGTAGTTGGATAGACTGGTGAGTTCTACAGATGAGTCCTTTCCAGGAATCAGTTGTGATGACCATGTGGCATGAGGTGCAGAAAATGCTCAGTTCCTGGTTTTTGCTTGGGGGAAAGGGAAATACGGGAGGACAAGTGCCCATAGTAAAGCCCCCAACAACCCATCTACAGGTAGGAAGTGTGAGAAGAAAGAGGAGTCCTGCCTGGTCCCTGAAATGTTAATAAACCCACTGTTTAGGCAGAGCAATGGGATGAACAAGCTCCCAGCTGTCGGGTGCTCTTGTAGAGGAGCATCACACCAGCAGCTCCTCACGGGTTACTCCCTACCAGTGCTGTGGCAAACTCCCCACAGGCACCCAACAGTGCAGGCAGCTGGGTTCAAAACCGTCTGTGGAGGGAGGGATTAAAGTCTCCACACTGAAATAGAACAAGAATAATGATCTGTCAGAAGGGTGGCATCAGATGCAAAAGGTCTCACTGCTTCCAGGGGGAAGTGATGAGTTGTTTCCTTGGCCCAGAGGAAAAAGAGTTAAAACCTTATTTAACATGCAGGTCCTGATTCAGCAGAGCACATAGCCGTGTAGTTTGAGTGTATGGATGCTCTCCAGAGTGCTTTGGGAGCTGCTCATCTTTCAAAAGCAAAGCCTATAATTAAGAGCTTCTCTGAACTGGGGCCACCCCACTTCTCCCAGCATCGTGTCCCAGATTTCTGGTGTTCCACTCATCCTCTTTGTGTTTTAGCATAACGACCTCCAGCCTGCCTTGAAGAGCAGCCATCAGGCAGGGCTGCCAGTGGCGAGAGACTGTTTTGAAAGGCACATTGAGAAAGCAGAGTTTGCTGTAAAGGCCCGGTGAATGGTGTATTTGTGCTGGGGGCTGGCAGAAGGTGAGGGGAAGGGATGCTGTATATATACATTTGGGACCCCACGTGTGTCGTGCACCTAATAAACCAGTTACAAGAAGTGAATAAATGCCCATCGGTCCCTCTCTGGCGTGCCTGTGGTTGGGAAGTGAATTTTATAGGCAGCTTGAATTTTGGGCCTGGTAAAAGAGAATATATCAGATATTTTCTATATGTGTGTTTCATACATTGGTTAAAATGTCGTTAATAGAACCTTCTTCTGCAACAGAAGTTACTCAGGTAATGATAAGGGCAACACAATGCACGTATAAAAGCTTTCCCGGTAAATCAGCTAGCACTCTATGCATGATGGTTTTATCGGGGGTATTACTCCAACTGTCAGCCTGTGGAGAAAAATAGGATTATTCTGGGGTTATTCTTGAACATTTAAATGAAATACAGTAGGGTGCAATGCAACATGTGCTTTACCAGGTTCTGAGGCTTTTGCCAGCAGGAATTCTTAGACCAAACTCGTGGCTGGTAGCTGAAAACAAGCTGTTGTTACTTAAAAATAAATTAAGAAATGCCTGATTTGACAAAACTTGATTTATTCAAAAAGGGCTCGGATGATAACCACACTTGAATTTATTCTCACTTTCTACATTAATTACTTGGAGTTACACCAGTTAAAATTGGTTCAGAGGAGGTAAAGATTGGTCGCCTATCGAGAAAGAACACTATTTAAGCCTGTTATATAGTAGTTTAACTTGAGCATAATAAAACATGGTAACCAAGACAGTGACATGGAAGTGTTATCAACTGCAATTTCTGTGTTTAAAAAAAAAAAAACAAAAAAGCTTGAAGACAGGCTCCTGTCTATACACGTTTCGTGTGCTTGAGTGCAAGCCTGTATGTGTATAATTGCATTGTAAAATCTCCTCATTTGGATTAAATAAGTTATGTAGGTCTATACACACAGCACCTCTGCTGTACTCAGCGTGTTAAGAATGGATTTAGGGGCACAGCTGCTGACACCGCCTGAACCCCATTCTTCTGGTAGATGATCCGCTCGCAAAAACTGGAGCAGAAATAAGGTTTAGGACTCCGTTTCTGGATAGCTGCAATTCAGTTGTACGTTGAGACACTGGGGTCAAAAAAACGACCAAAAAAAAAAAAAAAAAAAAAAAAAACAAAAAAAAAAAAAAAAAAAAAAAAAAAAAAAAAGCCCTTTGCCCACTGTTTGTGGGAAATACAAATACTGTTCTGGGGTTCGTGCAGTTTCGTCTGGAATTGTGCTGCAACTGCAAGTTTACTGGAAATCAGCATCTATAAAATAGCCTGTCAGCTAACAAGGTTAAGCAGAAGCTTTTTGAACAAAATCAGATAGCTGATAATGGTGATTTTTTTATTTTTTTTTTTTTGCCAGTGATCAATGTTGAATTAAACCATATTGCTAAGGCATGCTTCTAATTGCTCTAGATTTATATAATGAGTGGGAACGTTGTGCGTTAAAGCAACTATTCCTGTAAAACTATGTTTTATGGCTTTCAGGAGTTATCTACTTTGTGTACTGAACTCAAGAGCGCTCTGCTCTCCCCTTTCATTAGTTTACATACTATTAATGATATTTATTTTCTCTCCTTCCTTCTCCCCATCCTGATTATTTTGGTTTCATGCCATGGCAAATGATTTCCTTTGTAGCCTGAAGATGAAAACAAATTCCTTAGGTATTTAGTGTTTCACATATCTGGTAACTTAAACCTGTTCAACGATGCAGTAAAACATCAAAAAAACCCACCCTTAACAGAATCACAATCAAAAGTCTTAAACATTTTTCGTTTTCTCCTCCTGCCTGGCAGGACTCCCACTGCATTACCACGCAGTTTCAGCAGCAGTTGAGAGAAATGGGTCTGGAAAGTAAACTCATATCCTCAGCGTGGAGCCTTTAGGTAAATATACTCTGTTTTTTTTTACATTAGATGCTATGGTTTCATAAACGTGGGTAACAAGCTCCACCAGATGCCCAAATCAGAGATCGTTGTTAATGCAAATATCCTTGTATGGACACTGAATGGCTGGATGATGACATTTGCATACATATAGAGCTTAATCTGGAATCATGGGGCAATTTTTTTTTATTTTTTTTTTTTTTTGCACAAAACTGTATAAATTTGCTAAAGCATTTTCTCTTTAGTTCACAACAGAGCTTTTTATTTACAGCTATTCTGATTTGCATACAGCATATTTTTCAGCAATCTTTCCCTGCGATGCAGCCTGTTACTCTAAAGAGGGTCGCATCCACTCACTGACACATGGCAATAACGCCTTATTGCACAGGGTTTCTGGTGCCTGCTACTGTTGTAACACATAGTTGTGTGGTTTTTTTTTTCTCTAGTGTCAGACAGCTTGTGTCCTCCACGGGCTCCTCGCCTCTCTGAGCGATCTGTCATAAGGAAGAGTTGCAAAAAAAGAATTTTTCAGCTGGCAGTTTATGAAGAGCACAATGAGTGTCACAGTCAAGAGCAGAAAGAAAAACAGAATGATGTAAGTCACCAGGTCTGGCTTATTTATTTCCCCTTCTTTTAACACCCTGGCTGTCGACATGTAAAAAGCGGAGGAGCTGACAGGTCTTGGTGTGCCGCTCAGGTAGGGCGTGTTGGTCTGAATGATTAGGTGAGCTTCAGTGGCACTGGTTGAATTTAGTAATTCACTATACATGTTCTTGCTTAAATTCCCTCCGCAATAGAAGTAAAGCCGGAGAGCAAACTCAGTCAGTCTTTGGCATAGGAAAGAAATAATGTTCCTGCTTGTAAGAGGCTGAAAACCAGCCGCATTTTGTCTAAAAGCAAATCAATTCACTTGCACGGCTCAGTGACTTTCTTTTAAATCTTCTTGGCTCATATTTACAGCATTCATCCACAAATATGAATCAAAAATGGTACAGGTACCTCGTGTCCTGGCCCTCGTTCCCCCCAGCACGCTTCTTTTGGGGAAAGGCGTTGGATCATCTGCTGGTCAGCCGGGACGGGCTGGGGGCTCCGGGGGTGTGCTGGGAGCCCCCCTCCACCCGCATGGGAAGGGGCTCCGGTGCCAGGAGCCGGGCAGAGAGGAGCCAAGGCTTTTGGCTGGCAGCGCTCACAGTCCGTGAAGGGAAAGCACCGTGGATTTCCAGCTGATTTTCAGAAGTGGGATGCACGCGAATCCGGGGTTAAATGGCATCAGCGGGGAGAGGCGGCTGCTGCCTTGAGATCCTGCTGAATTTGCTGCCGCGGTTCTCTGCCTCGGGAGGCTCCGTGCTGTTGAGATCCTGGGGCTGGGAAGGATTAGTTGACTTTCTTAATCCCAGTTAACGGCACGCTGTGGAGCCAGCGTTAAGAGGCTGAGCTTTCTGCTTGAGCTGTCCAGGCACTCCTTTCGATTGCTTTGAAGAAAAACTAGAAAATAATTTAAAAAAAAAAAAAAAATTGATCAATGTCTCCTTGTTTAAAAAAGAAACACCGAAAAAAGCCTCCCTGTGAATGGGAAGGGGGGAGGTTAGCTCTTTGGAAGCCTCAGCTCAGCCGATTTTTTTTTTTTTTTTTTTTTTTCCCCTTGACAGAAGCTCCACCGCAGCATCACTTGCTGCTCCACCGCAGCATCACTGGCTACCGTGGGAAGGGGAGAACTGCGTGGTGGTGCCGACCGCTCTGCAGCCCATGGTGCATCTGGCAGTGACACGATGCTAAAAAGGAAAAGATCTTCTGATAAATCCCCTGAGGCTCTGGCTAGAGGTTTGGAACTGGGGGAGGGTAGCAGAGAATGGGACAAAAAGAAGAAAATTGCATCAAACCCTTTCTTTCTTCCTCAGACCCTTATCGTTAAAATCTAGAGTCATCAGAAAATGTCTTATGGTTTGGTTTGGGTTTTTTTTTTTCCCCTTCTATATGATCCCCAGCACCCTCTCCAGCCTGACAATTAGCATGTTAATTTATTTTTTTTTTTTCCATCAAATTGCTTTTATGCTGCTATTAGCTTCTGGCTGCTTGCCAGCTCCCTCTCGCAATCTCTCGCTCCCATGCATCAGATAAGCGCCGTTAATACTTTTATTTTAACGCACTGCAACTTGAAAAAGGGGCAGGGGGCAGAGCTGGGGGCAAGAGGAGCAAGGAAGAGAGAGGAGCAATTGGCAACTGGGCAGAGGAAAGTGTGAAACACTGTCTCCAGTCCCAGGGTGCTGATCCAAGCAAACGTTAAAGCTACTTATGATGAGATATTGCAGCCGACAGTCCCGGGTGGTTAAACGTTTCACTTAACATAATAAATGTTTCTGCTGGGAGAGGGGGAATGAAGAGGGGAGAAGTCTTCTGGTCAGTTAGATTTCAATAAAATAAAATCTCTGCTAGAGAGCAACACCCTCTGAGGCCCTGGTTAGCGTGTTCTTCATCTCTTGCCAAGCTCCAGGTGCCCCAGTTAAACCCCTGGTGCCTCCAGCAGCTCTGCTGGGCGGCCAAAGGCTGTCACATCCCTGTTCACATCCTTCTGCAGCTGTCCTCAGAAAAACCACTGCCTGCATCTTTACCTCCAAGTCTTGAGGGACCTTTTGAATTCATGAGATCTTCCTTTAACGCTTTTTGATTTTTGTTTCTCTCTCTCTCTTTTTTTTTTTTTTTTTGTATTTTCTTTTTTCTTCCCTCCCATTCCCCTTTCAGCCCGAGTGAGCTGACTCTTCCACATGCTGCTCTCCAGGATGGCTGGAGGGTCTCTCCCTGCCTGTACCTAAAGCTCCTCCTGGGGACGTGTCTCCTGCCCTCAGAGCTGCAGTAGTTCCACCTATTTACTCTGTGTGGGTTCAAAGAACAGGACACCGAGGCAGGCAGCCAGCACAGGGGTTGGAAAAATCAACAGAGTCATAAAAAAAAACTAATATAGTTTGCAACTGTTTTACCTACCATGTCTCCTCGAAACTGAAGAGTTTGTGAGCAGCAGCACAACATGGATGTCTGGAAGGCTGGATGTCTTCCCAGGACCATCCCATCTGCAGCGCTCTCCTCACTGAACTGTTTTTGAGTTTAACCAAACTTTGCATCCTTTTTTATTTATTTACTTTATTGACTTTATTAGTCTGTTGGAAAAGCAGGACGGCATCTGGGGGCTGAGACCTATAAATAGTGTGGACAGTTTTAATGTTTTGCATACTTTAGCAAAAAGTTTGTTATAAACAGATTCTCTGCAAATGTTACCAACAATATGAGAGGGGAGAAAAAAACAGTAGGGGATGCACATGAATATTGAGTCATGGGTGTGTTTTCTCCCTGCACAAAGTGTTGTTTTGGCAGCCCCGTGGTGCTCTGCTCTGTGTCTCGGAGTCAAACTGGGCAGAGTTGGAGACGGTCTCTGCTCAGGTGGCTCCTCGGTGGCCGTGTGCTCACCCCCGACCCCCCTCCCCTCCCCTGAGCCATGGGCCCCGTCCCTGGAGGTCGGTGGGATGGTCACGTCAGTGGGACAGTCACCTCAGTGCCAGGAGGGGACAAACGGGCTCTTTGCTCTGCCAGGTCAGTGCCTCCCTACGACCTTGTGTCGCTGCGTGTCATCCATGCAAACACGGGGTGCCCCCTCTGAGCCTTCTCTTCCCACCCCTGTCCTCCTGCAGGGTTGCACAGAGACACAGAGCCCGAATCGTTATTTGGTTTTTTTTTTTCCCTTCTACTCGTACAAAATGTTAGCTCATTCTTGCAAGCTTGGTTTCCTGCCCTGAATATACAGTAGTTCAACTCCAACGCGAGTGCTTTGGGTCAAGGACTGTTGCTAATGGTCGTGGTCCAACCACACTGTGCTGGGCTGGATCCCTGGGGTGTTTTACAAGCACCCTGTGTGCGTGCAGGCTTGGGAGCGCACAGGACTCCTCCTGCTTTCTGGCTGGCTGAAGCTGATTCAGAAACTGATGAGAAGCCCTGGGAGTAAATCAGATGTGTTTTCTGCAGCACTGCACCCAGGCTTATTCTTAAAAAAGCTAATTTGCCATAAATAATACCTTAATTGCAAAAATAAGAGCTGATCTTTTCCCTTTGCCCCCCTTAATTTAGAAAAGCATTTGAAGTCTTCAATTCCTTGTAATATTTCCTCATTAACTTATTTCTTCTTTAGTAGTTTTGTTGTTATTGTTTCTTGTTTTCTTTTTTTTTTTTTCCCCCAAGGTTTCCAGCATTTAATGACTTGTTTTGTTAGGTTTTTTTTAATGTGCACTGGCAACGGTGCTGCAAAAGAATGAATGTAGAGCCTCTGACATGGGCTGGAGCTTAACAATAATAAACTTCTCAGTGTTGCAACTTCCTGTGCGTTCAGAAGCTGGGTCAACATCGCTGGCCCTAATGGCAGCACTGGGGACAAGTCCCAGGGCTGGAGAGGCTCTCTGCCTGCTCCTGTCTCACACTCCTCTAAGGGCATGTCTCCCTCCAGATACATTCAAGAGCAAGAAATTTGTCTCAGAGGTGTTGGAGCCTTCCAAAGCCCCAGCTGACCGCGAGGAATTTATCACTGGTTGTGAGGACTTAGTGCCAGTTCTGGCCTGAGCTTGGTCCAGTCTTGCTATAGTGTGAAATAAATAGTGACATAAACCGTGCGGAGCTGAAAGGAGGGAGGACACGGACTGCGACCCTCAGCACCGCTCTGCTGCTGCTCCCTGGGCTGGCAGGACGATCGTGTTTGCGTTAACAATCCTTCAGCCAAGCTACCACCAAACACGATGCAAATCTGAACGGGTGGGAATCGCTCGGGGTTCAGCTGCTCTGTGAAAGGCTGGAGCCTTTCCCCGTTTCCAGATTGGTAAATAATGCATGATCTCTGTCTTATGTGCTTACGCAACCCCTACCACAATAAATATCAACCAAGGGAAATGAAAGTGGAAAGAAACATTATCTTTCTCAGTAATGCAACCATTTACAATCTGCGTTACGATCCTTCTGCTCTTAGGAGTGAGCAGCAGTCGGGAAGATGTTTCTATTAGCAGACCAGAATGCAACAAATCACGGGCTGTAACTTTCCAGTGCCGCATGAAAGCAGCCTTAAAGACATATAGAGGAAAGAAAATAAAAATAATATATAGAGATTACTTCTTCTTTTTTTAATCACTCCAAAAGAAAATACTTATTTCCAGGTACCTGGGAATTGGATATTAAAGATCATATTTTCAAATGCAGGGGCATAAAACTAAGTGCTAGACAACTGACCTGGGGATGTTTGGTGGTTAAATATGGGGTTGGATGCCTGAAGAAATTGGCCCAAGTGCAGAGATGTTTCAAAAGAGCTTGTGTGTGCTATTTAAAACTACCTTCTACCGTTAGGTTTCTTGGGCATCTTTGCACCAGCTGAAGCAGAAGCATTTAGAAAGTTTCCAGGGAAGCCTGTGGAAAAGGAGCTTGTGTGCATTTTATCAGGGCTGTGAGGAGCGTCATGATTCACCAAGGCACGTTCCCTCAGAGGATGGGAAATAAGCGTCCTGCGCCTTCTGCCATCCAGGTAAGCTTTGCTGCTGCTTAGATGGATGTAGGGATATAACTCTGGCTGTTTGGTGAGTGGTGGCAGCATCCCAGCCTCCCTGCCCTCCTATCACTGGTCCAACATACTGCAGCAGTTTGACAGAGCTTCTGACAGGTTTTGCAGTTTTTTTCAGTGCTCGGAGCTTCACCCATAGCGAAAGGTTTCATGTTCTTGTGTGGTAGATCTGTGGATTGCCCATGTCCTGAAAAAAAAAAAAAAAAAAATCTTATTTTCTCTTTGCAATATCTTGCTTGGTGTATGTAGAAGAGAAAGCACAACTTGATAGTTTCATGCAGCAAGGAGTGTGTGGGTGGGCGTCCAGTGATGCTCCAGGGGATGCAGCATCAGTACATCCATGCATGTAGAACATGAATCACAGAATCATCCAGGTTGGAAAAGCCCTTGAAGCTCCTCCAGTCCCACCACGACCCTCCCCCTGACCATTCCCAACTCCCCCAGATCCCTCAGCGCTGGCTCAGCCCGACTCTTCAACCCCTCCAGGGATCCCGGGGACTCCCCCCTGCCCTGGGCAGCCCATTCCAACGCCCAACAACCCGTACAGGAGGGTGTTTTAGAAGTAAAAGCAAAAGATGTAGTTATTGTGGAGAAAGGTTCTTTGGTACCTCCCTTACGCTTAAACCAATTTCTAGTCACGAGGCACTGGTTTGTTCGCTGAGCTGGGTGTGAAGGGGGACACGGATGCTGTGCTGGGCTCTGTGGCAGCTCTGTGACCCTGTTAGTCCTGTCTCCAGCACGATGGTGCCCCCGGAGGCTGGTTCCTGGTCCTGCCTGTTGCTACTCAAGGAGATTATCTCAAAAAACATGTTTGTGCATTAACAGGGCTACGTGCTGTAGGCAGTGTCTGTATTCCCAGTGTTTAACCCCAATTATTAGGGGTTGAATTTTAGTTCAGAAGGGATGAAGTGTTAAAACTCACTGTGAAGCTTTAGTTTCAAATACGTTTTGCTTTTGGTGCTAGCAATCACTTACCAACCTGCAATATGAATAAAAGGCAATGTCTGTCCCCCCCTGAATGCACCCTTTGGGGATCAAAGTGGATTTGGGGAGGCTGTGGGAACACTGCTTTTCATCTCTCTCCTATTCATATCCCTTCTCAAAGGGGATAGAACGAGCCTTTGCTGCACAAAATCCATCCTCCCCCGTATATATAACCCTCCTCCTGCCTCTTCCACTGGTATATTTTAAAACTTCACGTTTAACCATAATATTAACTTCATTGTAGGGAATTCGGAACAGGAGGGGTTGGGGTGTCCCCATCATCTCTTGAGAAAGAGTTGGACTCTCAGCTAGAGATCCTCTTCCCCTGGCATTACACTGCTTCTCCCTACCTTAGTTTTGCCTTAATTAGGTGTTTGGGATGAGACAAGGATTGTTCAGGAAGCTTCCCAGGTCATCACAGTGTTCCTTTATTAGCAGAGCTTGTCTTTATTCATGGTTTCTTGCTTGTACAACTCACCTGTTTGGTGTCAGAAATTTGTTCCTTTCTTGCAGGTGTCTGGGCATGGTCTGTCAGTGGGAAGATGTGGCTGTGTCTGTCAGACAGCAGATGAAAGGTTTGGTAAACAGGGTTACTCTTTCTTCTCTGGTTATTTATATTTTTTTTGGTTTGTGTTTTTAAGGTCTATATTGATTATAAATTTTGAGGGGAGTCGACACCAAGTAATAAGGGTGTGTTATTAAACTTAGGTGACCCCCTGGATAGGGAAGCTTCTTTTACAGACCAGGGGCACCCCCTGCCTGCATGCACGCCAGGCCTGAGTATCTCTCTGACCAGGTTCTGTACAACAAGGTGTCTATTTTGCAACCTTCTTCTTAATTTGAAAAACGCACTTCATAATATTTCCTTACCCTGCGGGGGTCTGGAAGATTAATTACTGAAGGTGAAAAAAAAAAAAAAAAAAAAAAAAAAAAAAAAAGACTAAAGACCCATCTAAAACAGGGTAGAAGAGAGAGATGAACCCTGGGAGAGATGGAGCCGAGATCTTAATAGGTATCGACACTCTCTAGGCAGTTAAACCCTTGTCCTGTTGCTTATCCACAGCACCTCTGCCCCAGCGAGGCCTCCGAGCAGCATGAGGGTTTGCTCCCCTCCTCATGTAAGTTAATAAAGCAAATGTGTTGCTCAAGGTTGGTTATTTATTATTGGTCTCGGCGTGAGCTCAGCCTTCTTCCAGCGTTACCTCTGAGAAACATTGATCATATGAACGGGGCTGACTCGCAGGTCCGTGGGTGCCCCTGGGTGACAGGAACAGCAGATTAGGTTAGAGAGTGAGCAGCACGTCACCCTTCTCAGTCTGGGCGTAAACTTCAGTGGTTTAGATAAACTGTTTGGGGAAGTACTAGACTCTCGGTGTGGCTGGCTACTGCTTTAAGGCATATTTCCATCTCTGACTGCAGAAAAACTAAAGGAAAATTGAACACAGTGTTCCTCAGCGGGTCAGGGAATTGGGGAGTTTTATTGTTTGTGTGCTGCTTGATAAAGAAAAACAGTTTT